CATACCTCAGTCCACTGAGCCCTTTCCTTCTGTATTCCCCCCTAGTGATGCCCTCCCATCTAACTTAAAACCCATCTCTGTGCGGACCTCTCCCAAGTATGCATTTCTAGTCTAGACCTCTCCCCAGTATCCTGGACTCATATAAAGTGCTTGCTTGACTTCTCTACTTGGATGTCTCAAAGGCATCTTGATGCAGCATGTGCAAGACTGGGACTCTCTGGGCTCCTCCTGCCAGCTCAACCCTTCAGGCTTCCCTGTCTTTGTAAATGGTAACTAGCCAACCTTCCAGTTGCACAGGTTTGAAGTCATCTTTGACTCTTCTTTTCCCTCATAATCTTCATTCAGTCTCTCAGTTCTTACAAGTTATACTTCCAACTACTTCCCACCAGATTTACACAACCTCCCTGGTTCAAGCTCACAGCGTTTCTTGCCATGATCTCCTATTCTTAACCCCGCATCCAGGGTTATCCTTTTAAAAAGTATGTCAGAACATGTCATTCCCTTCATCAAAACTCTTTTAATGGTTTCCTGTTTGTCTCAATTAAAATCTAAAGTCTTTGCAAAAGACTTTCAGGTCCTCTATCACTTGGCCCCTGCGAGGGCTCTGGCCTCGTCCCCACCTACTCCCCTTGGCTGCCTACGTTCCAGCCACACCAGCCTCCTTACTGTTCCTTAAGGATGCAGCGCACTGCCGCGCTCTTGCGCTTACTGTTAATTCCACCTGAAACACTCTACTGCAAGAAGGTTCACTCCCTTATCTTCTCCAGGCCTTTGCCCAAATATCATTTTTCTGACCAAGTCCAACTTTGACCACACTATTTAGAGTAGCAACCTCTAACCCACCCTGGTGCTTCTTGATCCCCCTCCTTTCTGAATTTTTCTCTTTGGAATCTGCCACACATCTTACATGTCATATTTGTGCGTCTTTGTTGGTTATGTCCTTCCTCTAGTATATAACCTCCATGAGAATGAAGGTATATCTGGTTTGCTCTTTGCTATATCCTTGGCACCCAGGAAAGTGCTTGGCATATAGGAAGAACTCAATACATATTACTGAATGAGTGATGAATAAGTTCAATTAACTTCTTTGGGAAGTTTTGCTATAAAAGAACAAGAAGTGGAGTGCAGGTAGGATAAGGTGAGATTTAATTTTTAAGACATGTAATATCACAGAATGCTTATATGTTAATAGAAAGAATCCAGTGGCGGTGGACAATTTGATGATATAGGAGAAAGAGGGAAATCTGTGTCAATCATATTGTTAAGTTGGCAAGAAGAGATGGCACACCTGGAGGGACTGGCCTTACATGGAAGCAAAGACAGTTAATCTATAGAAACAGGAGATAAGGTAGAGTATACATGTAGATAGGTGGGATCATATATATTTTTCTGAATGCTGTTAATTTCCTTTCTGCTTCAGTTGAGATGAAAAAAGAGAAGAGGCATTGAAGATCTGAGAGGGAAGGAGAAGGTATAAAGAATTCTCTAGAGAGTGGGGATGTGAATTAATTAGGGAAAGGTAGTAGGATTGCCAGGCTCACTTAAAGTTAGTCGTCATGAATTTCAAATGAGACCTGTCAGCATGATAGTGTGAGCTCTAGCTGTGTTCAGTACATATACAGGAAGGTGTAGGGTTGGATTTAAGCAAGCTTGGCACAGCACTTTGCACAAGAGATGACTAAGGTTGTTGACTATACGTGCAATAAGGTAATCATGATGATGGACCATGAAATCTAGTCTAGGCTAGGTAAGATGGGATGTGAGAGTAAGGAGGTGAGGGAAGGGTGGTTAGAGGCACTGTTAAAATGATAAGATAAATAAATTGGCTACTTTAGCCAATCTTGTTTGATGATTTTTAATTGGGGGAGCAAGTCACAAAGATAGGAGGTGTTGATAAGAGAAGACATTTTAAAACAGGACTATGGAAGGATGCAGTTACTGGCAGTGATAAAGTCAAGGCTCTGACTATTAGGGCTGGTTGGCTAAGGTGAAGTAGAAGGCTTCCTGGAGAAGAGGTCAAGCATTTAGAGGCCAGGGTGTTGGGAGGATCAACTGTGTGAATATTGAAAACACCAAGAATTAATATAAGTGTATTCTTAAAAAGAAGACAATGGGAAGGGGCTAACTTAAAAAAAATTTTTTTTTTTGGACTCATGGAGAGTGACCTGGGATTCTGTTGCTGATTTAAACAAGGAGCGGTGGCAGGTAGCATAGGTGTATTGGCATGACCTTCAAAGGAATTAGGGGATTTTATGGAGAAGGCATGGGAAGTGACCTGAATTGGTAATGAGGTGCAGGAAAAACACCCTACCCCGTTTCAGGCTTGGTGATATGAAAGAGCCCTGCAGCGGAAACATGAATCAGAGGACAGGTTTCAGTTGGAGCAAGACGGTATAGGGCCACTCTGAGAAGAGGTTAAGAAAACAGAACTGATACTCCATCAGCAAAAATGGCCTTTACTAGCTACTGTGCGTGAATATTCAGAAATTTCCATTTTTTGAGACATTATTTTAAAAATAAATTCAATTTTCAGGGGTTGTTCTACTTTCTTTGGCTTGTGTAACAAAACACCACACCTGGGGGCTTAAATAACAGAAAGGTATTGCTCCGCAGTTCTAGAATCTATACATCTGGAATCAAGCGTGGCCAGGCCCCCTCTGAAATCCATGGCGAGAACCCTCCCTCTGCTCTTCCATCTTCTGATGATTGGCCAGCAATCCTTGATGTTCTTGGCTTGTAGATGCATCGCTCTGATCTCCACCTCCGCTATGACAAGGCATTCTCCACCAGTGCCTCTGACCCCTCTTGGGGTAAGGACACCAGTCATGTTGGATTAAGGGCCCACTTACAACAGGGTGACTTCATCTTCACTAATTACATCTGCAACAACCTTATCTTCAAATAAGGTCACATTCTGATATACTAGTGGATAGAACCTCAACATATCTTTTTGTGGGGACACAATTCAATCTATAATAGGAGTGTTGACCAAAAAACACTACATCTTTTATGGAACGTGTTCATATTTTGAGTTGCTTGGGTTTTTGTCTTGCTCGGTAAATGAAGCCTGGTAGCCCAAGCATTTGAGTAAGTCCTGTTGTTTGTAAAATGCCTAACAGCCTAGAGACAAAAGTGTTATATACTGGGCATGTGATTTCAAGTCATAAACATAAAAGTAACTATTCACTGTGTGATGCTTCCATTGAACCTACTGGGACAGCCCACCTGGCTCAGAAGGAAAGCATCACAATTTTCAGTTGAGGGTCTTGGGGTCCTTTCACTATTCTTGTAGCTCTGTTATTTTAATATGTTGAGCCCACTGAAACTCACAAACCTACAGGTCTAAGATGGGGAAAAGCTTGCAACAACACGATGCCATGATATTCATCAGCTGAGAACATTTCTTGTTATGTCATGGAGATGGGAAGGAGAAGGGGGAAAAGTACTCATCTGGTTCTTTAGGCATAAGTTGAATCAGGACCCCAGAGATTCCAGATTCTAAACCACTGGAAAGTGCTACCTGAGGTCTTGTTTCCCTGGCTGTGGCCGTGCCTTCCTCTGCTCTTAAAAGAGTCATATGAGTGAGAGATGCCACTCTTCTGCAATGGAGAAAACCTAGGCTACACAGCCACTTATTGTACACTTACTGGAAGCCCAGCTCTATTCTAGTTCTCCAACCCACTGCAAGTGGGGACCTTAGCCTGTGCCCATTGAGGGCTGCTCCTGGAAAACTGTGAGTCCAGGTCTTGGAATAAACACGGAGGGATGATCCCAGCTCCTCACATTTAGTGAGCAGGTAGGTACATACCAAGTCGTTTGTTCCAAATCAGTCCAAATCAATGTTCACTTCAGTTTCAATGTGACTCACGGCAAATTCTGAATTGGTGGAGTCCAAATTAACGAGGTTTGTTATGCCGAGGGAAGTGATCTGATTATGTGACTCTTCTAAACCTTGTCAGAATGGAGCTAGCATTTCAGAAGGGATGGTAAGGCTGAGGTTCATTACTTGAAGCTAATGTCTTTCATGAAAGATACAGAATCCAACTGTTTAGTCATGTCTCTCTCCCTCACGACTTCCCGCACAGCTTGTAACAAATGAAGTCCCTCACACTATTACTCTAATTGAATTCCAATTTGGGTAATTATACTATAATTAGATAAATTTTCCCCATAGTTTTAATTCGCTGACAAATAGTGCTAGTCAAACAGCTACATTTCATTCCTAGAAACGCATCCCCACTCCATTTCAGTGATGAGTGGAGTGATTTATATTTCGGAGATATGTGTATGAAAAATGCACAGCTCATAAAATATTTTAGGTATCATTCATGATTACATATGCTTATCTCAGCATGAGATAACATTAATTTCTATTATAATCTTTCATCTAATTTCTCATATGCTTGGTGCCAAAAGAACTTAGACAGTTAATTAGCATTTCTATTTCCAGAACAATTTTTGTTTTGTTAACGAGTAGCTTGTATTTTTTTTATTTCTAAAGCATATTTCATTGTTTCTGGGAGGCAGACTGGGGTAGGTGTTACTATTTCCCATTCTTTGGATGAAAAAATTGAGGCAGTATTCCCTAAAGTGAGGGCGCCAGTAACTCAGCGCTAGGCTTGGAACCTAAGCGCCCTGTGGTCTCCTCATCCAGGCTCTGTCTGTCAGACACTGGGTCACTGGCGATCACTTCTGTGTCACTAATGAGAACACAAAGAGCAGCACACTTATGACCTATGTCACCGATCACTAATTTGTAATAATTAACGATTTAGGCAGGAGTCAGAGGCCTAATCACTAGGTCCGGTGCCATCCTTGCACCGTGTACAGGGACGGTGCCCACAGGTTCCTACTAGGCACAGCACAACGGGAAGAAGAGCAAGAAGTGATGCAAAGGGGTGCGAGAGGATTCAAATTTCAGTTTTAGTTTGATGACCTTTCTTCAAGGGTTGTAGATGGCTTTTAATAAAAGATATTAAAGGCAACATCCAAATACTCACAAAAAGCAGCAGTAGCAGGGGTGTTATAACGATGCCCTGAAAGAGATAAAAGAGATGATCATTTATCAGCCTGGAAAGCAGGGCACTTTCTTTGCTGTTTTAAACTCTAATACACGGAAATGCTTATGCTCACTTCCGTTTAATAATATCTAGGACATAAAGAAGAAGGAGCCCTAATCTTGGCTCTCCTGACCGTAAAAGGTCTCAGCACATCTATTACAATCATTCGTATGCGGCGTCATTAAGAGAACTGCCACCAACCTTCCCTTTCTAAAACCTAAGTTGCCTTCCACATGGCACAGGTATCACTCGGGTGGCAGCCGGCAAGCTCTCTCCCTCCAACGCATTCCACTTGAGCTTGGAGAAAGTGCCCCCTTTCAAGAGAAGACAGGTGGCGTAGTCCCAGCTGGGGTGCTCTCCCGGGCAAAGACCGCAGTCAGTCATAATGAAGGAGACCTCGTGCCTTTGTACAGTGGACTGATCTCCCCCAGGAAATGAGCTGGGATCTCAAAACTCATTTTACTTGATTAGACTCCATGTCTCCTTGGTGGAAGGCACGTCTTTCATCTAATTCAGCCACACAGGACCACCTCAGTCCCTCTGCCTCCCCAGGCAGAAAGGAGCAAAAGATGTGTTTTTCTGCGATGACAGGGAACAGTTTGAGGCTGTTGTCGATGAGGCAGGATACAAGCTTTTAGGCTTCTTGAAGGTGAATCTTTAAAATGAGGTGGTTGAGTTGGGAGCTGACCTGACCGGTTTCAGTTTTAGAGCAGCACATGATTATTCACTCTTCTTTAACTCTCAACACTTGTTTGTGATTTATACAAGAAAAAGCATTTCATATTTTTTATTAATGAATTCTACTTAGAACTGCAAAATTCCAAAGATTCTGTGTGTGTATGTATGAGAGGGAGACAGACAGACAGAGGCTATAGTGTGCCCAGGATCTGCATATGGGACCATTTCATTACTCTGGGAAAACCATCCTTTCGGTATTTATATGAGGCCCTTTTGTCACTACAGTGACCAAATTCTTTTCAATGTGGCCCAAAAGACACTGGCTTGCCTTATAGAACATTGCTACTCTGACTTTCTTAGGCATACACGCATATGAATATTCACACACAGGCTTGCTTTATTGTCAAATAATAGAATAAATGCTTCCTTATTGTGCAAACTTTTGCAATTTCTAATTGCAAAATAATTTTCCAACTACAAAAGTTGGTAAGTAATTTAGTATATGAAAAGTGGGTTTGATTTAGCTTATAACCTAGCCAGGTTTACTTCTGTTACCTAGCAATTCACCTAAATTCAGATAAGAGAAATAGAAACTTATACTGATGTTCATGATGGAATATCAATAGCACTAAATAATAACGCTTCTGAGAAACAAGGCAGGCTATCTGTGATAGGATAAGAAATTTCAATTTGCAGGAAGAAGGTTGAGCATTGTCACTATTGTAGGGACGTTTGTCTTGTATTAGAGGAGTTACAGCCACACTGCACAGCACATTGGGACCCATGTTCTTCCTGGTACCCAATTAGTTTCCTTTGCAACAGTGGAACACTAATAGTATTAGTAATGATATCAGTACTTTTAATGGTATTTTGCTTCAAGAATGACCCTCCCTTATTGAAGGAGTTAGGTTATATAACAACCCCATTTTATAGTTGAAGAAACTAGGGTTCAGAAAAGCAAAGCAAACAGTCCAAAGTCACACAGCAAATAAAGGCAAAGCCTGGACTTGAGCTGCTTTGCCCAATTCCAAATCCAGAACTGACTCCACTATACCACTGATCCTGGGTAGCAGATTTCAGCAACCAATATAATTTCTACAGCTCTGCTTAGGACATATATGTAGTGATGAGTTGGCTGTATGATCTTGGTCTCAAATTGATAACCAGTTCTTAGACATGCCCTTACTTTGCAAAGCAGAGCACCATTATCTGTGTGTTTTTCTGCCTAAATATTCAAGTGTATAGTCATCAACACATATTTAATATTTGTTCCTGAAATATTAAAAATGTCTTTCTGAATAGGATGTATTTTCTAGTTCTGGATTCAGAATTCCTTATTATTTTCTAAAAAATGGCTGTTCAGGTTTTAACTAAGAATTGTTAAATATTGCTGAAACCTGCTTTCCAGCTGTAGTGGGAACTGAGTCGGCCATGATACCATTAATCCAAACAAGAGCACCATACTTAGGTTTTGGTGAAGTCATTTTAAATTACCATTAAAATAAGAACATTTATGGAGTACTTGTCTTAAAGTCAGAGGAAGTGCTAAGGATGTCATCTTATGTAACTGCACAACAAGCCTAGGAGGTAGGTACTATTACTACCCCCAGGTAGGGAAGGCAGCTGAGACTCAGAGACAGAGTGAAGGAGGAAGAGGCAGCCCGGGAATTCAATCTCTGTCTCCCTGCCTCCAGAGCCTGCGATCCTGAACGGTGGAAATAAAATC